GGGGGGTGAGGGGCAAAGTAACCGTTCTGGAATCGTTTGCATTCTTAAAACTTGAAAATACTCATACTATCATCAATGAAACAAATAATAATAATAATAGTGATTATGAAAGCATTAGGGCTATAGTATTTGAAGAACTTTGAAGTAGAAGTACCAAGTGAATGTAATTATGCGGTATTAATCATTTTGATGAAGAATAGACTAGTGAAATGAACTCACCTTCTGCCATATCAATAGTGCGCCACATTTCCTCCAATTCCGCTTTGATCTCAGCAAATGTTGGGCGATCAGCTGCCTCCCAAGACCAGCCTAAGTGCCGAAGGAAAAAAAGGCACAATAAGACAATAATCGGCAGTGGATGCTTCAATGTTTAAATGAATATAAGGCAGAGAGATGCTCACATCGAAGCATAATACTGTAGACCGATTCAGGACAGCCGTGCGGCCGCTGCATTCGATAACCCTTCTCCAGTAGCTGATAGACACCGTGCAACTCAACACCGGGGTATGGTGAAAGACCGTAGGTTGCCAACTCCCAGAGAACAACCCCAAAAGCCCAAACATCTGACCTAAAGGAGACAAGTAAATGAGATACACAGAGAGAGAGAGAGAGACCAATGATATTTAAATCGAAATCAGTAGTATGCTATCACTACTTGTTAATAAACGAAATTCGAGGCACGCTCACTTTTAACTATTTCAGGTCAGTTGTCTACATCCTGTAAACTGGATACTCCACTTCATTTAAACATATTTTTGGCTTCCTATGAGGCCAACGCCTTTCCTATTCTCGCCAACTACATTGGCTGTCATTTAATTACCTGGAATGTGTTCAAGTTCAAATAAACTTGGAAGATGAAGAGTTTGACAAATTCCCATCCCTACTACCCCCCCCCCCTCCCCACATATTCTCAGCAGACATGTCAAAAGTACTAAAATGGAAGGGGGCAATACTTTGTCACCCCCCACGATCTCCGCACTTTTCCCATTTCGACAAGAAGAGCATAATTATCCATGGGTGTGGATGTGAGCCACCTTATAAAGGAAAAATAGTGGAAAAAAAATGAAGCCAAGGAAAGAGTTACTATAGCAACGATTCCTCCCACCAAAAAGAGATTCTATTAAAAGGTTGAAGAAAGTGATTGTCAAATCAACATGCAGATAGAAAGTAAGGTTTGTGCATTTGCCAATCGACCGCAGAAACACCCATAATGAAATCAGAGTCAATAAATACGACGCAGACTGATTCCCCCCCTAGTAATGAATGAGATTAAGGAATGAAAGAATGAATGAATGCCGGAATTCATTATGATGTAGAAAAAATAAATTTCAAAACATTGGCTGCAAATTATCAGGTCTTTCATACTTGATCAGCACAGGATATCCCCAACCTTCCGAAAATGTGTCGATAATTTTAGAGCATGAAAAAGATCAATCGCGCATAGCCACTAGATGGTACTTCTCGCTGGCATTTATTAAGCAACAGGAGCTTCAAATTCCATTGAATAGCCATCAAAACACAAGATAGGAGGTTGAAGCCCGATCCAGTAAAATAAAATAATAGGTGTGTGGGGGGGGGTTAATTTAAAATAGTAAAAGTACGATTAAAATGGCTGATTAAAAGGCGATCGATATGGGGATTAGAAACAAAAATTTGTAAATGAGTCCTAAAGCTGATAAAAATTGTGGATCGTTATGATAAACTAATCGATGATCAAATTCTTTCCCAATTACAATTGTAAGACATTTCTACTTAAGAAATCAATCAAATAAGATTGCAAAATCCATTAATTTAAGTCAAAAGATTGAAATTATCATTTATTCGCAATAGCCATGTGAAGGAACAGTGAATTTGTTTCCCACAAATTCGAAATAGTTGAAATTAATTAAAAACGCAACAGCATTTCTATAGAACGCCTTTGGCATTTTCTTGGAATCCGGATACAAGAGATTCCGCCTGCATTAAAAGTCCAGATCATCATTTGTAACATTATTAAAGTGCATCAAATGACTCAATTTTGCCCCCAAATGGGTTAATAAGGTGAAAGAGGCGAAGGACGATTAAGGCAGCTACAAGCTGACCTCGACAAGAAAATGACCTTGGAACATTACTCCTGACCCCACTCTTCAACCCCCCCCTCCCCCCACCTCCCCCCTCCACGTCCACATTAGGTTTACACCAACTGACCCTACAAGTGAAATAACCCAAATTCAACTGAGAAAGCCCTTAGCGCACATTCCACAAACCAAATCCAGTTTTTTTGCAAAAATATATTTGCTGACCAAGATATGATCCGAACAATGCTATAAACAGCTTTTGTGAAGTTGAAAATCCCATTTTCAAGCACTGGCATATTATTGGAGGGAAAATTGAGGATTGCTAAAGAAGGCAGTTGGATGAAATATGAAAAAAAGGGCCAATCTTTTCAATCAATAGACTATAATATTCAACAGTGGCATTAAATGGCAAATTTATATGCTAGGGGATATTCATTGTGAGATAACCCATCATAAGAATAGACCATTTGTTGCATACTGTCACATTCTCGCGAAATATTTTTGACAAGCGCGGCTGATATTCATTGAGATTTCACCTCATTCAAATCAATTATTTACGACCATTTACTCATATTGAAAAAAGAAAGAAATGCTCAGGAAAAAGCGTGGCATGAAATTTCAGTGGTATTTGAGACAGATACTACTGAAATATGCGTAATAGAGGAAGAGGTGTACAAAATAGAAGAGCAAAACAAGAGGTGAAAAGTAGAAAAGAATTGAAATATGAAAGCAAGAGCTCCGACAATGGAGGAATAATCTAATTGACTTGACGTAGAGAGAGGAACGAGGGAGGTGGGGGCAGGGAAACAAACTAATGGAGGTTAAAGAGGTAAATCGGGGTTGGGGAGATACACTAATAATGCAAATGGAGATTCGAAATACATTCAGGTTGTTTACTTAGAGAGCGAATTTTGTAAGTTCCGATGTTTCAAAGTCAAAAGTTGCGTACTTGTTCAAAGGCCCCTGCTTAATGGCTAATTGAGTGGCCGTAACTTCTCCCATATTTGTCTCTACCAACAATACTACTACCTTAGAGATTTGGACTGTCAGCCACAGTAAGGCGTCATTCCAGATGGACTTTAATAACACCAATAAGCAGTGTCAAAGCATTCAATAGAAGAAGAGAATACACACACGAGACTTACTTGGAAGAGAATCTGAAATACGCAAGGCCTTCGGGAGCAGTCCATTTGATGGGGAATTTGGCGCCATTGCGGGCAGTGTAAGTGTCCTCGTGGAGTTGCATGTAACGCGCCAAACCGAAGTCAGCCACTTTGATGGTGTGTTGATCACCCACCAGGCAGTTGCGAGCAGCCAAGTCTCTACCAAAACAGGTAAACAAAAGAATGACCCAATAGGACTTCATAGTCTTGCACTATATAAGCATCAACACCCCGGGGTAAAGGAATCCAATTTGCGACAAGTTACAAGATTGTAACAACACAAAATGCCAATAAGCAATCTGCCTTTTGTGGGTAGTTCCCAATACGTTAAGCGCGATCTCTATCAACATTTTAATATGCTAGTTTAGTGCTTCATATGCAGATTTGAATTTTGTAGAGAAAAACCAGATGCTTCTTACCGATTTCCTTCAGTTGTGAAGCTCCCACTAAGACAAATGCACAAATTTTAGCCGAATTTCACTCACCGAACAGGTATCCTATCTTGATGCCACCATATATTTATGGCAAAGATTACAAAAAATGATAAGGATAGTGGCCTGGAAAGTCCATCCTGGCCCACATTGGTGACAACCAAACTGCAGCGTTTTCCAAAAGCGTTCATTAAATTAAAATAAGGAGTAAATATATTTGGCTTGAAGGTAACTGCGAATGAAATAGAGACATTTGAGTAACTTGTGAGTAGAATTCCATCAAGGGATCCTGAAAACTTGAATACAATACTCCCTCCCTCTCCCCCTCTCCCCCCCCCCCTCCTGGCGAGTTAATGTCAGGAAGCAACAAGCAGAAGTTGATCCACAGTAAGGAACTAAAAGTAGGAAGAGGTGATAACGAATGGAGTTGAAAGACAGCAATAATCCCAGGCATCTGAATCAAATACACCCCACCCCCCTCCCCTATTTCAGCACACAATAAGAGATCGTAACACAAAGGAGAAAAATTAATCTCTATGATCCCAACAGCAACCCAACATTACTACAGAAATGTACAGGAGTAAATGGAAGCATTCAGAAACGCCGAAGTGTCGTCACAGGGAATGATTGTTTTAGGGTTGAAATTGATATGAACATAATAGGGCAAGTAGAAGGAAGGTGCACTGGCTGAGAGTAATTTAAAATGGAATAAAATCAGAGCACCAAAAAGTGCACAAAATCGCACGATGAAACGGTTGGAACGTGATACAGAGGCGGGGAGGGAGGGGGGGGGGACTTCAAAATTTAAACTGTCAAATACTTAAAAGAAAGCGGCCTTGTGAAATGTACGTGATCTGTTGAATTTGATTAGACACACAACTGTTATAAGTCAATCGCGTTCATTTCAGATTCAATAACTGAATGACTCCCCCCCCCCACATTGTCAGATAAGATGAAAATATATCAAGAAGGGCAAAAAAGGCACTAATCATATTAAAATGAAACCTTACGTTCAAATAAATTTAAAGGGTTAACTAATTACGCAAATGCAATTATTTGTTTTGCAAATTATGAATAGGCAATTGATTTTAGGTAATAAATGGTTAAACGAATTACACATCGCTTCTATCGGTAGTTGGGAGGATATGAGCGAATATTTCAAGTGAAGAGGTCACTGCGATTTCAACTTGCGTTCAATGTCTGCTCGTCTTTAAGACCTGTATAAACGTGTGTGAGAGAGATAGTTGGGAAAAAACCAGTACTCTCATTGACAGAAATTTCTACCTCTACGAGTGTTATTTGCTCTGAAACCTGGTTTCAAAGATAAGCTACTATTTGCTTGACAACGGGAGTCAGCACAATTTCAATAGAAATCTAAACCTAAAACTGAGAAGTAGATAAAGGCACCCTGGTCATTGTACCACATAATATGATGGAAAAGTAGGCGAGAATAACAATTTTGTAAAACCCGAAATAATACTTTCATTTGGTCACGCAACTAGAGCGAAAGTGGATAGCGAAAAAAAATTGAAAAGCGAACAGCACAATTAAGAAAACGTCCATTTTAAAAACAGCATTATAATGATAATGCTCATCGCTAAATTATGCACGTAACACTAAGAATTATAATTTTTGACAACATTTGCAACTCATTCCAAATGATCATGTGGTTGGTCGAGAAGCTTCTTAAAAGAAAAACTTGTTATTTAAGGAATAAAATAAACTGTCATGCGGTCAACCACTTCAGTCACATTTCCAATTCGCCTTTCACTCAAATTATGGTTCGCCAAATACAAATCAGGATAATCAAATGAGACGAGATCTGGAGAATATGGTGACCACCATCATGTTGACGATTTACCACTTCCCTCCTAAGTACACTTTCACGCTCATTCTTCAACTTCTGATTTTGTCTTTCCCAGTCTTAGCAACAATACAGCTTTACTCCACCACTTCCTTACAGTGTCAGAAAGTCCACATTTCATGAACATACTACTAAATGCCTGGAGGAGGTTACCCAAGGCTCAACTCTCGATTGATTTAGCAGATAAAATGGGTGGTTGATTTGAGCACATCCATTGTTACTCCCCACCAACATTGTTCCAAACTATTCCCTTCTAGCCCCGCCAACAATTTGGTGCAAAAAGGATGAATTCTTTGTCATCATAACAAGGAAATATACGAGGTTCTCTCCTCAACCTTGTTTTACTGAGGGAGTTAATGCGGTGGCGTCACAATTCAAATCTTATCTCATTTTCCGATTTTTGTTTAACGTCTAATTTCGTACTTCACCAAGCAGAATCCACTTTCTCCCATACTTCTTCAATACCTAATCAATGAATTGGTTCAACCAGGAATTTTAACATGATTCCATCAAAGTTGTCAATCGTTGTTATTTCGACTCATCATTCCAATCCCTATTGCTCGATTTAAATCTTCTAAACCAAAACTGACCTCGGTAGACTTTGAGCATGTGATCAAGAATTTTCACCTGTGGGTTTTAGCAGCCTTGTTGGTCATCAAATCCTTGGGAAAGAAAATTAGGATGAAATAACTGAAGTGTTTGTCTCGGTCTGCTTTGGTCCTGGACATTGTTGAACCTAATCATAAGGCAAGGGCTAAGGTAAAATAAACTGTGCGAAGAAAAATTTTTCCACTGCGACAAAAGTAGCTGAAGAATTGCTTCTCTCACCATGACTGCACAAAAGACTGAACTCAAACATCTGCCAGTAAGATAGGTGGATGGGTACTGATGTGTCCCTGACCAAACCCATATTTACGATTGGGAAATATTAAACTTTGTAAGTACTTCGATACCATTGGGCAGGATTGAGGGAAGACAAACAGAAAAGGTAGCCAAGGAGGTAAACATAAAACTTTGCTCCACATTAGCACGTAGAGCATGCCAATTGGAAAAGAGTGTCTAGAAGGAGATTATCTACAATTATCAACAAACTGGGTTCACTTAGGGGAGGAAATAAAAACGCGAACTAGCAAATGACGGAGGTAGATAAAACAGAGGGCTTTTTAAGGATAAACTAACAAGTAGCCGCCCATTAAACCCCAAACCTTTCTTCGAATGACATTCTCGACAAATTAGACATATTGCAGTGCCTTTTATTGCATTAATTATCACTGTTAAAATACTCATAAAAATTAAATCAACTGCGGGAGGATAATTTAAAACAAAAAAGGCAAGCATTATTAGAGGTTGGTTCTAGTGTGTACCCGACATTAAAATAACACATTTTCAGGCAGATATTGAACACTATGAGACCAGTTGGTAGATAAAATCGATAAGAGATGGTAACAATAGAAGCATGAGAAAATGGAAATCGTTAAAACGGTAAACTGTTCCCCATAATTACACCCCCAATTAGGGACAGAAATCAATAATGAACTCACACGTATCCGCTGGGAACCTAATCCACTTAAATTAGCTCAATGAATTGAGTATAACACTTGAGCAGCTCAAAAAACCCTTAATTTAGCAACCGTTCTCCCACCATTTTACGCTGCTAAATATGTCCCCCTTTTATATTATTGTTCCGGGGTGTGGGATGGCAAAAAAGTCTATTAACTGGCAGTTGACCTCTGACTTCAAACTTCCATAACCCCACTGTATGTCATATTCGACCCCTTCCACAGTACTCATCTAGCCTTTTCTCTGCCCTTGTGTCTGTCTGTTACATCTGTGAATCGCTCTTCTTTCCCCCCTGTCGGATTTTTCTCCCTTTAATGTTCCTCCCTTCTGTGAAGCCCGAAGTCAACTAAAGGGCTAATGATAACTATCAAAATGCCTGCCATTTGAAATAAATAAATATTATTGTTCCAAATTCGGGAGAGCAAACTTTTCACTTGACTTTGAATATCA